CAGACCCAGGACAGCCCAGACCCGGTCCAGCTCACACCTGGTCCAGCTCAGATCCCGTTCCAGCTCAGACCCGGTCCAGCTCAGACCCGGACCAGCCCAGACCCTGGTCCAGCCCGGACCCGGTCCAGCCCAGACCCGGGACAGGCCGAACCCGGTCCCGGGTGCAGCCGGAGGAAGGTGCTGCCACCGCCCAGCGCCCGGGTTGGGCACAGAAAGGCTCCTGCACATCCCCCTCCCCTGCCCAGCTCCTCCTTGCAGACACCGTCCTTCTTGAACACGAAAACCCAGCAGGTTTGAAGGCTTTTATTTCATTCATTTTTTTACAGCAATACCAAGCCTACAGCTTCAGCACAGGGCGGGTTTTGCAGGGGTTTCTAGAGGTGCTTTTTTGGTTTGTTTAAAAGGAAGAGGCAGATCTTGGGAACACGGTGAGGTGAACAAAACAATCTCCCAGCAGGAAGCAAATCCTGGCTGAAACCTGCTGGGCAGAAAGGTGGGGGCAGCATTCCCAAGGACATGCCCAAAACATCAAGCCTGAGCTACTCTAGAGCTTCACCCAAGGATCTGTGAGCTTACAGGTAACTCCTGTAACAGCACTGAAGGTCCTTGAAGCCCTTGGATGCACTTTGCTGCAAAGGGGACAGAGATGGGGGGAAACTGGTGTTCAAATTGGCCCACCATTCAGCAGGCAATGTCATGTCATGGTGTCACTGCAGGACAAGGAACCTGTCAAATGATTTAATCACCCAAACACCTACAGGGAGATGAGGAACATGGTCTGAGACCTCCTGACACAGGACACAGACACCCCAGCTCCTGGTTCTTGCATCCATCTGAGGTTTGGGTTCAAGTGAGCAGAGAGGGGCAGGAAGCAGCAAAGCTCCCTGGTGATTCCAAAGGAGCAGGATTGGTGTGAGTTGGACACACCTACAGCTCAGGTAGTACATTTCCCAGTTAGTCCAGAGCTCACAGTGTCATCAGGATGTTGCTACTGGGATGTGCATCAGGCCTGAGTCGAGTGGTTGGCACCAAAGGGTTGAATCCTCTCAGCAAGCAAGGTCAAAAACCTGATGGCAGCACTTGAAATGCTTCTGGGTGGTTTGGTTGAACGCTGATGTGCTGAGTGGTGTCACAAAGAACAGAATGAATTGCAGATTATAGAGGTAAACTGTGTGCACCCATGAAAATATGGCCCTCTGCTGCTCAAAATGGGAGTGATTCCTTGAAATCCTGCACTGGGTCAGTGGCATTTCAGAGCAGGGATTGAGCTACCAGATTAGAAAATTCCAGTCTCAGCTGGGAATCAAATTCCTCTTCAGCCACAGCAACTCCCCTTCCCAAAAACAGAAGCATCACCTACAAAATTGCACCCCCAGGATCCAGTGCAGAGAAGTGCCATCAACAACTACACAGGTAACTGGTTCTGTGCTAGAATACACCAGGATATACACAGGGAACAGCCCCATTCCTTGGGGGAACAGCCCCATAACCACCAGATTACGGCTGAGAAGGAAGGAGGTGTGTGGGGAAAACCCAGTGATCAATTCCTGGCTTCAACCTGCCCTGCTTGGAGCAAACAGAACCCGTGCAGCCACTGTCCAAAACACACTCCAGGTGAATGGGAGGGTTCCTGGGAAAGAGCCACTCCAAGTGAATGGGAAGGTTCCTGGAAAAGAGCCACTCCAAACTGCTCTGCTGAGGGCAGAGGGTTCAGGGGCTGCTCTGCAAGGTGCTGCAGGGGAGTGTTCTGCTGAAGGGGTCACACATGCACTGCAAAATGGGTTGGCTTTATGATTAGATCTTTCTGAGGGGTTGCAATAGGACAGGTTTGCTCTAAAATCCTCCAGGTATCCTCACCTTTTCTGAAGGCAGGTCAGTGAGTACCAACAGGCAGGAAATGTTCCTCTGTGCTCCAGGCAGGATTGAAACTGTACCAGAATGTGTAAGGCAAGTTGAAAAATAGCATGATCCACACCTGCCCTGGTATGGTGAGTCCTGGTCAGTCTATCACAACCACCCAGCAGAACTTCAGAGCTGCACTGGAGACAGTGAGCAGTGCCAGCACATCTCAGGGGCAGGCTAACACCCTGCTGCTGCTGCAGAGGCAGATAAGTCACCATGGAGGGGAGGAACTGAAGGTGACTCCACCTGCCCCTCAGCCACCAGAACAACAGTCATGACCACAAGCACAAAGAGGTCCCTCAGATCCTATCATGGACTTGCACGGTCCAGTGAGTTGGCAACACCCCAGTGCCAGCACTGGGCTGCTGCCCTCACTGCACTGGGATTAGCTCTTCCAGGATTGGGAGCTCAGTGGGCTTTATTTTTTGGGTGGTGGTGTTTTGCAGCACGTTGGACACGTGCTGCTTCCTCCTGTGCTGTCCCACAGCTCCTCCTGAGCCGCCTCCCCCACCTGCACAACCACCACAAAGCACTTGGTGCAGCAGCACAGCAGCTCTGCCTTGATCCAACTTCCCTTCCAAAAACTGTTGGCTGCATTCCTGACTTCAGGTTTGGTTATTTTTGAAGTTCAAACTTGAAGGAAGCTCTGCACAGCTACTGGAAGTAACTTGGTGAGAATAGAAACAAAGTGAATTATCATTTATCCATGAATTATCCATTCCCAGTGCTGGGAATTTGGGCTTTGCCATGCCAAGCTCAGCTTGAAGCTGCAGGTAAAATTGAGCATTACAAGCTTAATCTTCACTGCTTCTTGCTGGTGAGAAGGGGAGGAAATGATCTTGTTTCCTCCCACATAACTTAAATGCCACGTTCAGGTATTAAATTTAGTTTTGTCAGTTGTTGACACAAGCTGGTTTGATATGCAGGAAAAATGTTAATGAATTAAATTGTGAAGGGGGAAAAGAAAAAGGACTTGAGGAGTCTGACCCTAAGGCACAGAGGAAGCAGGATGATCTGAAGAAACCAGGCAGGGAGTTAATGTTCGCATATGAGGAACTGCCAAAAAAAAGGCATTAAATGATGCCAGACCAGGCTCTAGTGGGAAACTCTTGACCAAACAAATAATTGCATGTACAGGAAATGATCTGTAGGACCAAGATGAACCACTTCCCATCTCTCTCCCAGTCCAGTGCTGCTGCTCTCCCTGCAGGGATGACCTGACTGCCTCCACCAGCAGGACAGCAGCTCCCCCCAGGCAGCCCCACTCCCACAGACCCAGGGAGTCATCCCTCAGGTGCTAGAACACAAGCTGCTTCAGCAACCCAGCCCCAGAACAGGGTTTGGATTCTCTGAGCGATGTCTAGTGGGAAACAGGTAGAGTGGAATGACAAGCCAGAAGGCAGGAATAGTTTCCATCCTTTTATGCTTAACAGCTGTAAACCCAACAGGAAGGTCAGAGCTCATTTCCTCAAAAAAGAAACATGGCTCTGCCTTTTCACTTCCCCTGCAGCATGAACATCCTTCCAGGATGCAGGACAACAGCCTCACTAAGAGCGATGTCTAGTGGGAAACAGGTCAGCTGAAAGGGGTGGAGAGAACCTGAGCAAGGCAGCAGCAAGCAGATCATTGACCTTGTCTCCCCAGAGCCATCCAACTGCTGGCTGGGCAGGGGAAGGACACCCCTTCCACTCTGGGCAGGGCAGAGGGCAGCAGAGCCCAGTCTGCGGGAAACAGCACCAAGAGCTCCACCACCTGCAAGCTCCAGACCTTCACACCCCAGCTGGAGCCTCAACAGTGACATTGAACCCACAGCACAAAACCTGGGCTCACTCCCCCACTTTGCCCACAATTTTGACTTCCCTGTGCCCTGCATGTTCCAGGACCTGTTTAGATTCCTCCCTCTTTACCTTCTCCTCCCCACCTTGTTTGTTTGAGATGGGTCTCACATGCTGCTTCCCCATAAAATTTAAGGCAGCAAGTTTCCAAATTAACACCGGGGGGGAAACCAAGCTCCAGCAGACTCAAATAAAGACCAATGTTAAATATTACTTAATGTTTTCTTTTATTTAAAAGATCATTCACAAAATACCATATCCATAAATTTATTTTGTTATGAAGCAGAATGTGTTAAGTGTCTGGAATTCCTTTCTTTTTCCTTTTTTTTTTTTTTTACATTTAAAAGTCACTGTCTTAACTAGAGGTGAGTTTTTAATATGGGAATTTGTTCTTAAAATCTTTTCCACATTGAAGATGTAAATAGGTCAATTATTGGTTTGGAATACAACCACACAAATGCATGTCTGTCTTAAATTAAGTATTAGTGTTAGACAAATGGTTCTTATCTCAGAAGCAGAGTGACAGGCAGAAGGAAGGAAAGAGTAGTTCTGTAAATTGCTGGGACTCTGACATGACAAAGGTAATTTTAGGGAAGAAATTCTCTACTAGCAGTGATGCTGGCAGTGCAGCAGCCATGCCTCCAGCTCCTCTTGAGAGTCCTCTGGTGTGCTGGCTGGTCTGAAAGCTGTCAGCACCAGGGGGCCAAGATTTCCTCATGCACTGGGATATACCCACACCTCAGTGTTGTACACCCAGGTTTTGCTTTTAAACATTAATGATCTCTCTGCTTTGGCTACAGCCTCCCCTTCCCTCCCTCCTCCCACACAACATTTCAAGCAAAGAGATGCAGCAAATAAGAGATAATTTTTACCCAAATTTCTACAGGAAGAGAATCTAGAGCAGAACAATTTCTAACCTGTCAATTTTCAAGATATTCTGAAAGCAGAGATCTTAAAACTGTACATCACTGGGCAAAGAAATGCAGGGGTTAATGGTGATTACATACTGCATGGCAAAGTATACACTCCTTCAACAAAAATAAAAAAAGTCAGCTTTATTTGTAGAAACTTCATTTAAAAATTTACCAAACATGTAAAACCCAAAAAAAGAAACGTAAGCAGAAAGAGCCAGTGAGCAGTTGTGCTCAAATAGGCACGTTTTTGCAGCACTAACCTGGAGCTCAGGGCTGTAGCATCATACCATTTTGAAATCAGCAGACAGCCACCAGCTAGAGCCTGCTGGCAGATGCTTCATCCATAGTGATTCCACCACCAATTCACCAGGCTTCCTGTCAGCCAATTATATTTGCACCAATTAAATCAATACTTCCTGGTAAGCTGTGTGAAAGGGCAGTTACCCCTTCTCAGTTTTAGAAGGGGATCTGCTGTGTCCAGTAACTCTGTCACCAATTGTCATAAATGGTATTTCACTACTTGGTTAGAACTGTAAATTTCTGTTCAACTCATCTGGACTCTCCAGTTTTCCTCTTCAGAGCCACAGCAATACAGAACAGGACAAGCAGGTCAGAAGAGGAGCACTGAGGAAGTAAAAGGAAACAGTACAGGGCAGTAACTAAGTCTAACCTGTGCTTCTAAAGTAAAATAAACCCAGAAAGGAAGAAGCTGAGGCAGCACCTTTATCCAGAGACCTCCACACTCGTGGAAGCAGCTACCCTGCCTTATCTACTGGCAACTGTGCTGCTTGGAAGGAAACAGAAGAGGGAAACTCAGCACAAAGCAGGCACTAGATACAGCAAAGCCAAGAACGTACTAAAAACCACTTGTTAACAGCTGACATGCATTCACAAGCTCTGTATTTTCAGTTTCAAAGAGGACAAATGCCAGATGGCAGGAATGGTAAACTGCAGGGTTGACATTCCAGCAGAGCTAGTCACTCTGTACTGTCTTGCTTTTTCTCCCGCCTCCCCATTCCCTCTCAACCTCAAACTCAGTCGTGCTCTTTTACTACTTCCTCCCGGGGCTTGGCTCCACCAAAGATGGCAGAGTTGGGGTTGGCTACTTGGTTGAGGGGGGTAGCAACTGTTCGAGGTTTGAGCTGAAGTCGGGGTCGCTGTGCTCTTTCCTCTGAAAGAAAGAAGGTGAAGGTTTTAAGGTGTATCAAGGGTAGCAGCTTTCACCTGACCAAGGGAAGCAGGAGCCTCCTTCATGAAAGCTTAACTACAGCAGATGTGAAGAGGTTACCTTCTGTTGGCTCTCTGAAATCCATGGAAGACCCACGAAGGGGAGGCCCATCCCTGAAGCGGCCGGTGCCGCCGCTTCCCATGGAGGCACCTGGTGGTCGCCGGTCCCCAGGGCGGGTTCCTCTGCCCCGGCCTCCCAAGAAGTCATCATCTTTGAATCCTGAAGATGGAAGAGAGTGAATTTAAAAGGCACGTTCTGCAATGTTTTTAATCTAGAGTTTTATCTGGATGACTGGAAAGCCTTGCAAGTCACTGCTGCCAGTCCAAGAGGATGCACTGAGAGGCTCTGTAGTCAGATTGCTTCACAGGTCTCTTAGGTAGGAGAAGAGTCAGATTCCATCAGAAACAAGTCCACCATGGAACTCCTTTATCCACCTGGATGTTTACTGGGAGTGTTGGGGAGGGGAGGTCATCAAGTGAGCATAAAATACGAGCTTCAGCCAGACATTAGATGGTTAACACCATGAGCTGAACTGAGAGGTAACACCAGTACTCTGAGTACTTCTGGAGCGAGAAGGTGACTCTGGCTACAGCCTTGGCATACGATCTGCAGGAGCAGGGCAGATGGGAAAATAGCCAGGGAGTAATGAACTATACACTCCTTATAAAACACAGCCTTTGCAAAACAGAGCAAAGCCCCAAGGGTTTTTAGTTGTACTATAAACTGACCAGGCATTTACCAGACTAATTAAAGAGCTGATGAAGCTCAAACAATTCAGACTTTAAAGATTATTCTCCAGTATCTCTCCAAGCCTCCATCTGCAGTCCCTGTCAGGAGGATACTTCAGGCTGCCTGGACATCTAAGGGGAATACACTCAGTTTTTCAGAAGCTGCCTGGAAGAGAAAGTTGTTTTGCTCCCACTTGGGATTTTACTTTCCACTTCAGTATTTGGCAGAGTTACACAACTGTCCTTCACTTCAGTGCCAAAAAAACACCTTCAGAGACTTGATCCAGAGCAAGGCTGTATAACCTGAGAAGAAAAGCTTCTGTAGCAACTCAGACTTACTTAAAAGCTAAATTTTTGGCTCACAAATCACTCATCCAGCATTAACAAGCTGAAGTGCATCTGCACTTGCAGAAGCTGCCAGAAGAGGTATAAAGCTATGCCAGCAGAATGCTCAGCTCCAAAGGCAGGTGAAGCACAGAACTGTAGCAAGCCTCCTCTCTCCAGCACCATGCTCCACACTTGGTTACCACTCCCATTCTGTCCATTCCACTCATGCAGAGACCAGACATTGCAAAGTTGCACTTGTCAACATCTCCCCATCAGAAAATGGACCAAACCCACCAGTCAGAGGACAAAAGCAATTGTGGTAATGTCACCCTGGACAGAAACTGAGTGGAAGTCAAGAACAAACTCGGTGGCTCCAGCACTACCTTCCAGTCAGCAAGCTCAGCCATTTGCTGCAACTTGCATAACTGTAACAGGTCTATAAGTTTAGGAACATTTTGCACTTAAAAGTGCTTTGCAACACTGTCACATTTTTTGAGAAGTCAGTTGCTCCAGGGATACACAGGTATTAATATCACATCTCCTTAGGAAGGTGAAAACCTCTGCTCTGAAAGAATCCAGTCTCAGCTTTTCCACATGATCTGTCTGTTTCTGCTACTATTCAGAAATGTGGCCTCATGTTTGAGAAATACTTAAAACCTAGATACCATAGGCTGCAGTTGAACAAGCATTTTGTCATTTAGGATTGTTTCCTAAGGTCTACAATCAAGACTCTTTCCTCTAAGGCAATGGAAGATTCCCCTGAAGAATCCCACTGCAGCTGTGGGATGTCCAAAGTCGGCACAGATTCAATCAAAACAGTAATGGGGACAAATGTAGCTGACATGAAAATGAGAACATTTCTGAGCCTTGTAGGCTGCCTTTCTGTAGAAGTTTTAATACTGGTACCAGAATTGAAGTCATCTCTGGAATCCCATCCACCTCCTCTGGATTCTCTGGAACCTCCTCCCATTCCTAGGAAAAAAGCCACAATTGTGTTCAGGTCTGAAGCTGTGGGAAAGACTGATCAAGGGGACACCAAACCAAAGTTCCAGTCCTTCAATATCCAAAGTCATGCTGCTGGAAAATCCTTCTGTTTCAGCATTACCAAGTTCCATTGCACAGGAACAAAAACCAGTATAAGTTAATAAGCAGTCAGAACAGTTTCTCTAATACATATTGGATGGAAACCTCTGGTGAGTCTAATTCAATTAAACTTCAACTACAGCAAAGGCTGTTTTTACATTGGAACAGGAGAATCCAAAAATAAGTGTTTACATTCTTGTGCTTACTTAGCTTACTCACTTTTATTACATCATAATATAATAGTAGCAGATCAGACGGACGGCCTTATGATTGTCCTCTGCAATCCACTGTACATTATTAGGGGTATTGGTCTCACTTCCTGGGCTAGGAGTGACAACACCATCAGCTTTTGGACACAACGCACAGACACTCCAGGAGCAGTAGCAGCTAGATTAGGAATCTGTGTATCCATACAAAATGTCTCCTTCCTATATATTTACTTGCATGCCCTGTCTCAGCACCAGTTAGCACCAGAAGTCATAACTACAACAATTACATTCAAGAAGCTATTTAGAAAAATGGAATTCACCTCTGTCTTCAGGCCCGCCACCTTTCCTGAAGCCAAAGCCTCCTTTATCCTGTTTTCTGCCTTCTGCTATGTCCACTCGGAGTGATCGGTCACCCAAAAGCTGTGAAATACAGAGAAGCTCTTCAGAAGGTACCATTTGGGCAGCCACAGAGTTTGAGCCTTTTGCTTATCTTTTTGATGCCACAAATGAATGGCAAGTATACTTACTGCACCATCGTACGTAAGAGCTTCCTTGAGTGACTCCACCTCATCGAACTCTACGTAACAAAATCCTGTAAGAAGAACCTCACAAGTTAATAGCAGCACTTTCCAAGGCCTCTGTAAGAAGCTACTCTTCCTGCTTCCCTGCTAATAGTTTCCCTTCTCTTCCAAACATGAGCTATGATATGGACATGGCTCAGCACCAGGGATGCACCCATCGAGGATGGGGGCAAATCCTGCAGCCCTGCCCTGCATGGGCACCATGGAAGGGCTCTGAGCCTAATTAATCACCTTTACCACAGGGTTCTCATTACTGATTAATTTGCTCTATGTCTGTAGACAGTTATTTAGCCAAACATTGACATTTGGTTACTAGTATGGTAAAACAAGTAGCTGAAGTACCTGCTTGGCCAGCAGTCTGATTTTGGTGTCATCACATCATTTAGTGATTTTTTTTCTTTTCTGAGACCTTCTGTTAAGCCTTTTCCCCCCCTAAAAGTAACTTAAACACTCCCTTTTCCACTGGTCTATTCCAAAGGGAATCAGACTTGAATCCTCTCCAACAGCTGCCTGAATGGCTCATCTACTTGCTTTTGATCCCTGCTCACAAGGAGACAGAGCTGAAGAAATGGGGGTATTCTGAACTAAGGAAAGATGGTCTAGGTAACAACATTTCAGGTCATGAATCTTAGGTGGGTCAGACACTTCAGCTTTGTTACAATTTATACAAGACAAACAAGGTCTGGGAAAGTCCTTTTATGGCAAGGCAAATAGGGCCCAACTCACACATACTCAGGTTAGTTTGTATCTTAAGATGATGGATGTAGCAGTGAATCTCATTCAAATAAGATGTTTACCTCATAGTGAATGAGAAACCCTCAACACTCAACCTAGAGAACAAAGACAGATCAACAAGCTAACTATTGCTTTAGAGTCTGACATACCCCAAAGTGATGTTAGAAGCACCTCATCTCCTCCTACAGGTTACTTGGCTACAGCTGGGACAGCTCTGAATGCTCACCTTTAAATTTGTCTGTTTCCTTGTCTCTGACTAGTCGTACACTCCTTACGCTGAGATCCTTGAAGATGGCATCTATGTCTCCTTGCACAGTGTTGAAGGGCAGATTTCCCACGTATGCTGTGAAAGGGGGTTCTGTTGGCAGCTCTTTCTGTTTGCGGGAACCAAGGCCGCCACCACGAGAGCTGTTGGAAAAAAGCACCCGTGTCTCTGGAAGGTGACTCCCAACACAGCCAGCAACTACATAGCACTGCTCAGGTGCTGCCTGACTTCTTGGAAGTGGGTTTTTCCACAACTTCAGGCAGTTTTTCTATCCCTTTGCCTGTACCTGCCACCTCCACCATCAGCCTGCTCCTTTCTGGCGTTAGGTGAGGCAGTACTTCAATGGGAAAAGAAATCAACAACATATTGAAATACAGGGATACTCAGTAATGAAGTGATGAATCCTATGGAGACAGGCTGAAGAGAGTTGGGACCGTTCAGACTGCAGAAGAGAAGGCTCCAAGGAGACCTTAGAGCACCTTCCAGTGCCTGAAGGGGTTACAGGAAAGCTGGGGAGGGGCGTTTGACAAGGGCAGGGAGGGAGAGGACAAGGGGCAAATGGATTAAAATTGGAAGAGGGGAGATTTATTTCAGACATCAGGAGGAAATTCTTTAGTGTGAGGGTGATGAGACCCTGGCCCAGGTTGCCCAGGAAAGCTGTGGCTGCCCCATCCCTGGCAGTGTTGAAAGGCAGGTTGGATGGGGCTTGGAGCAGCCTGGAATGGTGGGAGGTGGCCCTGCCCATGCAGGGGGGTTGGAACTGGGTGATCTTTAAGGTTTCTTCTAACTCAAATTGTTCTGTGATTCTATGAATGAACTTCTTTCCCATCACCCATAAAGAAAAGCAACATAAGGCTCTCTCTAGTGCCCCATACTCAAAAACATTACTGCTTAAAAAAAACAAACCATATACTAGATTTTAAAAATAATTTATAGCAGTGAAGAAACACGTGCATGGACAGGCTCATCAGCTTATCCTGAAATTAAGCTGGATTCAATGCTTTTATCTCAATAGTATATTATCAACATGCACTCAGCAATCATCTAAATTATTTCAGCAGCCCTCAGCTTAACAGAAACATGTCCTCCTGACTCTGCAGTTATTGCCACAACTGTCAGATATCTGGACTGGAATGTTTTGAATTGGACACATAACAAAAACACTTGGTTGAGCAAGGTGTTCTAAGGCAGAGAAACTCATTTCAATGCTATTAGAAAGTTTTGTGAATCACAGGCTGAGTTGACTAGGTTGTCTTTTCCCCTCAGTTTCAGTTAAGGATCTTGGCACTGGCTGCTAAGGAACTAGACTGCACCAGTACAGTTCTTCACTGTAGTCATGTAACACCCCTGTGTGTTCATGTCCTGTACAGCCTCATCTTCCCAAGCTACCTTTGATCTCCTCAGCAGAGAGCAAGATGTGGCCTGTGGGCACAAGGCAACATTGACTTAGAACTTCTAGACTACAGGATGCCACTGTTGCTGCTTCCAAGCACCTGCCCCACCTAAGCAGCACCTCTGAACTTCACCTGAGATGCCCACCTACTACTCCCACCATGTTCTCTTCCACACCTTATTTCCAACTGGGCATTGCTCACATCTGCTGCCTTTCCCAGAGGCTCACTGTGCATTTAAAAGCATGATGGAACACAAAGTGTACCAAATCAGGACTTGCTAGTGTGACAGGGATAAATCAGATTTCTGCAGAGTCCCACCTAAAATACAGAAGGTCAAATAATTTCATTGTTTCACTTTATTCTGGTTGGTTGCTTGCAGCCAGAAAAATCCATGGGGCAAGCAATGTACTTGTCTTTTTTTTTCCTATTCCAGAATAAGTATTTTATTACTAATGTAGTTAGGTTAATGGTTGGATTTGGTGACCTTAATAAATGATTCTATGAATCAGATCATGCAGAAATCTTGAATGAGACTCCCTAACTCTTCCTGGATAAGCCCATAATTGGTGCCTTTTTCTGGCAGCAGCTCCATGCAGGAGTCACTTGTCACCAACACTAGCAGCATTCTGCTCCATGTACTTCAATCACTACCTACATATCTTTAATTAGTGTCCACCCAGGTTGACGTTCTAGCATTTTTTACAATATTCCTCATCTGCCTTTGTCTCATTAACAAGTCAAAAACATACTGGAGAACTAAAACTGCAATAGTTGGGTGCTGTGTATGTACAGCAAACTTAACTTTACCAGAAGGCCAAGTTTAAAGGAAGAACTCCAAGAAAGCTCTGAAGAATTATGTAACATGCTGCATCATTTCCATGCCTTTGTCCTTAATTCTCATTTCTGGTCTTACAAACAGCTACTGAACCACCAAAAGAAATCTTATTATTTATGTATTTTATAGGAACATCAGCATTGCTTCAGCCAAATTTAAAAGGAGCACTGCCTTCTGCAGGTGCTCAGCATGTTCTCTGAGCTGCCAGTCATCTCCTCCAGTGAACTGACTGGCCTGAAAACCTTGCCCTAGAATTGAATTCTCAGCCAGATCAACAAGATGATCTGGAGAGCTGCAGAGATCACCTTTGTCAGCTCAGGAGGGAGAACAAAAGCAGGGGCTTGAGCTACAGCTTTCAACAGCAACCTCCACTCAGATCAATTGGAGCTGCTTCTGAAACCACACCCTCAAGTTGCAAGTCCCAAAAGAATTCCTGGTGCTACAGACAAACCTTATTTCTACCATAGCATACCAGAACTTCACGGGGTGTGTGTGTCTGGAAATTCATGTCCTATTGTGCAATTCCTACTGGTCTTAAGTCAGAAAATGAAGTATTATTTTTTAATTTGATCCACTAAGGCCTCACTTATCAAATCGTTACATATTTGGTATTTTAGGCTCCATTTTAGGAATAGGAATGGTCAATAATTAGGTTCAAAACTAAGTTTCCTACAGAATCCAGGTATATCAGCATAAAAATAAACTGTTTCTACACTTTCCTGCATCTTTTCAATACTAAAACAGCAAAATGGAAAAAATAAGGCTGACTTCAGTAACTAAAGAATGAGATTAAAAGAAGATGCTCTTTATTTGTAACAAAATAGGGCAAAAGTCAACTATAATTAAAAACATACCTGAACTAAGTGAACTGGGTCAGACCAAAGTGTTAAATGAATATTTGCATTTCCCACTCACTGCAACTTTTGCTCAGCCAGAATTAGGTAATAATTATGCCATCTTAATGTGGGAATCTGAAACACAACTATTTAATTTATTTTTCTGAAAACCAAAGCAGGCTGCTGAGGAAGAAAGCTTGCCCTTAGCAAATGCAGAAGCAAACATCCCTATAATTAGACTTACTTTGGGGTGCACCAAGTCAATGACAACATAAAGCCCTATCAGAGTGAAAGAACAAGAAGTTATCATTCTGAAGCTACTCATTTATAGGGTTTAGTTCTTCTCTCCAGAAAACAAGACCTGACAAAAGTTGAAAGCAAAGAATATTCTGAAAGCCAGGATTTGAGTTTAATGGCCTTTCACTAAGGATCAAAACAATAGCTCAGTATTTATCTTTCTGCACAGCACTGAGACAACAGCCTGACTGGATTCCAAGGCTGGTGCTTCCCCAGAGGCAGCACAAGGCTCAGCAGGATGCAGGTTTTGTTGAGCCTCTCTACAAGACCACAACTTGAAATACATACCCCAATTATTCAAGCATTCCAGTACACAGTAAGCACTGGATGTCTTCAGCAACAAGCTTACCCAAGCCTAACTGTTAGGAGACATTGATTAATATGACATGGGTAAGACACAGGACCCCAAATACCAAAAGGACAAAGCCTAGCTCTCCCTTTTCACTTCCTTGCCCAGCACTACAGGATTGGATCTCAGGCTCTGAGGATGGTGCCCAGCATTACTGAGCTCAGGGCTTTAAGCCACACCTAAATAAATAGCCTATGAGCAAGTCAGGGCTGATAAATACTGAGTTTCCCTCAACTCTGAGAAGCTCTACAGATGTTCAGAGTTTCAACTAGGCCTCTATATGCTTAAGTACAAGTTTTGGTGTTGAATTTTGGGCTCCAAAAACACTCACCAAAAAGTTGTCATAGTAAGCCTTTCCTTATGAATGTCAGCAGCATGTTTTTCATCAGGAATACAGTGACTCCTGTGTCCCACAGTGTTATGCTTCAGCTCTTAACCAGGGAACACCAGCCAGCTCAGGGGTAGTAAAATCCCCTGTCTCATGATGCCACAATCTCATCCCCTTCTTCTTCCACCACGTTTTGAAGAGTGTGAGAAGGAGGCAGGCATCTTACATCTGTTAGAATATGGTGGACACCACTGTTTTCTACCTGTCACAGATCCCGTGCTCACTCTCTATAAAGCCTAAGGGTTATGCAAAATGCAGCTTCCAAAAACTGTTATATCTCAACTGAGTTTGCACTGTTCTTGCAGTCATGGAGCACCAAAATATGAGCAGGAGCCACTTTAAGTCAACGTGGGATTCTTTCAGCAGAACCTTCAAGCACAGTCATGTTTTCATCACACTGCACATGATGGGACTTGACAAAAAGCACAGAGACCTGTTAAGGTGTGAAATAATCAATTAGCTGATAGCAACTTACTAGTAATAATGAGAAATTGGATGCAAGTACAAGTTGCACTCTAATATAAGTAGCATCTGAGGCTTCAAACTACAGCTCCCTCAGAGCAGGTAGACTTTCTCATCTGCAAAGGCATCTATCTACTAATCAGCAGCATGCCTTTGGTTCACCAAAACAAGTCTCCACTTCCTGCCTAAGAGCAGGTTAACTACTCTATTAAGGAAATCTGAATATGAAAGTAACCTTTTAACTTTTGTTTTATTACTTTACTGAACGTGCCTGCATTGACTGCAGAGTAAGATCTAGATTTGAGTGTCAAGTGGCACTTGAAGCTGCTCTCAAGGTTATTTGTTACAGATTTAAGGAAATAACAGAATTTTAAATGGCTACAACATCTGTTTGCTGTGGGACATCTCCTCTTCAGACACAAAGGGTATCTACTCATAAAAATAACCTTACAAAGCTTGAGTGTCACAGAAAGACAAGAAAACTTACTCCTGGTGTAAACTCAGCCCTAACTTCTTCCTGCTGCCCAAAGAGCCTGAAACAAAACTGATTTATTCTTCTAGAAACAGGCAAGGACAAGAACACTGTTAACTAGGAAACACCTCTTGAAAGATTACATTGCAAACTATCGGTTAAGATTGTTCTGCAAAGACCATTTATTTCATAGCTTTATGCCTACTGTTTTATTTCAGAGCACTCAAACTTACACAGCACCAGCCTTCAAAAAAAAGCCAATTACTAAT